AGCATGTCGTAAAATCAAGCAAACCAACACCCGCAAACAAAAATATATATATATATATATATATATATAGTGGACTCTCCCGTTGGATTCGACGTATGAGGGTCAAACAGCTCAGTTCCTAGAAACCGACAACCTACACACCAGCACATATGATTTGATTAGAGTGGCGAAGGCTTTGTGCAGAACCAATCACACGTTTTGAAGGGCCGAATACAGAGACCTGGTGCACCACGTGCCAAAAGGTCCCCAAACAACCCTCCACAGGTTTTGAATTCAATGTTTTCCTTCTCCTAGACCAGTTGCCATCCTCGGCTATAAAACCCAGTCTGCTATTTACCTATAGCTGGAAGGAGAGGGAGACGATTAAGTAAGTTAATATGTAATGGATTTGACTGGAATTCGAATATATATATATATATATATATATATATATATATATATATATATATATATATATATATTGGTCGCTTTTCAGCATTCTGTCGATATTTTTTGGCGGGAGGGGGTATACGAACATGAATAAGAACTTTATACAAATGCACGCAAATGAAATGTTTACCCGCTCGCATAGGAATGTTTGTACATGCACGAAGCAATTTGAGCCCGCACAAACCTGTCAACATTTCAACAAGTCAATGACGAACATGTGCACATTCGCTTGCACTTGCATGTGTCGTAAAAGAAAAACAAACACGCTTTTAAAGCGAATGAAATTGACGGCAAAAATAAAACATTGATATGTTATTTATTTTGCATTCTACTGCATGACCAAGTACTTCCTTTCGGTCTGTCAGACATGGGAGCGATGGGCGTTCCCTTCCTCACTGGCCTCTGACGTGCCGGTAGAGGGTTTGAATTCAGGGTTGTTATTTTTTGTAATCTGGTTGCCCTATCAAAGTTAAAGAGATAGTCTACTCTATTATATTACTCATAGCTGGGGAAAGAAGAAATGGTTTTTTCCCTTGCCGACTCCATTTTCCGCTACAGAGTTAATGTGAAAACAGAAAGGCATGCATTTTTGTCGTGTAAGGGGATTTTTGTGTAAGATGTTTTTCACAAAATGAGTAAAGGGATCGATTGACAACATTAGAGCCACAGGAAAGTGTGCTAAACGGTCACGCAATGTCTACATTTCCTATATCACAGTGAATGATGAACAATTTCGTAACAAACAGGACTTGAAATGAATGAGATGCGTTTCTAAGAAAACATTTGAAGTGACTAAAATATGTTTCTAAGAAAAGACTTGAAGTGATTGAGATATGATTCTGTTGTAGAGTAGTTTTCACAGTGGAGGCTTGTATTTCAATAGGTCGTCCTAAATTAGGTTCGACGTACAAAAACGTTAGGAACTTGAAAATAAGAGTTAATGAGGCAGCAATCTAGTTGTGATGGTTGGTACTTCAATGTCCGATATCGTCTGACTCGCTCAACACCACTGAGCCGAACTGGCGACTGCTACTACTACTTATGTGTGGGAGAGTCTATTAATAATAGAATAGGTACGTCCAGGTATGACAGATTCTCAGGAAAGTATTGAACTGACTGAGATGTTCACAGAAACGTCTTCAACTGAGTGAAATGTGGTTCTAAGAAAAAAAAAATGAATTGACTGAGGTATGGTTCGAAATAGTAAAGACTTGAAGTAATTGAGATGTGATTCTCAGGAAAAAATAACTTGAAGTGACTTTTTCAAAAAGTCTTGAACTGAGTGAGATGTGATTCTTGGAAGAGATTTAAAGTCCCTGAGATATAGTTCGAAGAGATGGGCTTTCGAGAAAAGACTTGAAATTATTGAGATATAGTTCTACGACTTAAAGGGACTGTGATGCCGTTCAAAGAATCTTGGAAATACCACGCAAAGAGTATTTGACAAATGAGGTAAGTTTTAAGAATAGGACCTACAAACGAGCTGCTGCTAGAAATCAGACGTAAATGAAATTTTAAGGCCACATAAAGAAAGAATGCTTGGAGATTTTTACATTCACAAGGCATATCGAATGCAAGAGAAGCCGAGAAATCCAAGTGTGACTTACTTAACAAGTTTGATCATATGCATGGTGGAATAATTGCCATTAAATGAAAACGAGGTTTTAAATGTGTAAGTGTTGCTAAGAGTAGCATAAAAACAGGGAGCTCTGAAGAATTATAATCATTCACGTCAAGAAGGATCACGATACAGAGATGGATAAAGTGTGACATAGATTGATTATATTTGTGATTTTTACAAGAAATTCGAAATAAAGTTCATTAAATTTAAGATATTAAATATCGGTTACGCTTTTGGCAAATGTTCGAAAAGTTGAGTTAAAATCGAAAAACGACAAAGATGACAATCGTATAATGAATGGAATGATGAAAAACATGAGCGCCTAACATACTTCACTAAAGTTTGTCGGTTGACTTCTGCTATGACTGGCTTACAGCCATAACACATTGAAACACCAGTTCTTGTACGATCACCGAAGTTAAGCAACATCGAGCCTGGTCATCTAGATGGGTGACCACTTGGGAATACCAGGTGCTGTATGCTTGGATATGCGGGTGTTGTGATGGATAATGGCTCGGAATTGTTAATCAGAGATCCGAGTTCCAATTCCAGTTGGGTTCGTTATATTCACTTCAGCGCAAATACCCTTGAGAAAAGTATAATTCTACCTTTTCTCTCCCCAGATGTGTTAATTAGTAAGACTTCTAACACGAAAAATCCTTATGATCTATAAAATATTCTTACAATCTAAAAATATTTTCTGACTTTAAATAACCTGCAAAGTGTTGATAAAGCGTAAAAAACGAATCAGTCAAATCTAATAAGAATGTCGCAACTAAAATTATACCGCTTTTTCACGCTATGATATTTTGTAGTGCGATGGAGGTCTGCTCAGAGTTAGAAATCGCTGAACCGAGTTTGAATTCCAGTCGGGTTTGTTACATTCACTTACGCGCAAGACCCCTTGGGAAAGGTATGAATCCATCTATTCTTCTACCAGCTATGGGTTGAATAACAGGACAGGCTGGGTCATAGGCAACTAGTCAACCACAGAAAAAAATGGCAGCCTACTGCGGGAAAATCTGCCTAGTCAGTGGTGAATCGAAAAAGACGATCGTCCAAGCGTGTATCATGTATGGCACTTAACTGACTATGTTTCTATGCTACAATATATTTGGAACAAGTAACTAAAAATGGGTTTATTCCTTTATTTAAACAATTTCTTGAAACGCTTTATCTTCGTCTAATTTTATGCACTTTTTTCATTTTTTGTCTTACTTTCTAGCTTAACTTTCTCCTTTTTTATCTTTCATTCATTCTCTGGTTTACTCTCTTGCTTTTTGGGGTCTTTTTTTTGTTTTTGTTTTTGTCTTTTCTGTTTTTCCTCTCTCTCTCTCTCTCTCTCATTTTATTTTTATATCTCCTTTCTCTCTTCATGTGCCCTTTGTATTCGCTCCTTTTGCTCTTTCTTTTCTTCTTTTCTCTTTCCTCTATTTTTATTTCTTCATTCAGTTCTCTTTTTCTCTTTCTTTTGATTATCTTATCTCTTTGTTCTTTCTCTCTCTCTCTCTCTCTTTCTCCCTCTCTTCTCTCTCTCTCTCCTCTCTCTCTCTCTCTCTCTCTCTCTAACGCTAGTTTACTTTCGTCACTTTATTAGTGGCTCTTTTTTCTCTGTTAGTCCCCCTCTCTCTCTCCCTATCTTTCTCTACCCGTCTTCTGTCTCCCACAATTTCTTTGTACTCTCTTTCTTTTTCATTCTCTGATATATTATTACTATCTCTCTCTCTCTTTCTCTCTCTCTCTCTCTCTCTCTCTCTGTATTTCATCCTGTTTGTAAGGTTTTCTATTTCTCTTGTCTCACCCCTCTCAATTTCTTCTCACTCTCTCGATCTCGCTATATAATTTTATTCTCACCTATTTTAGGCTTACTTTTTCACGTTTCTTAATCAGTAATAATCACTAATTTCAAAAATTGGTTTTCTCGCCTTTTTCTTGCACTTAGGGTAGTTTCCCCCACCACAGTAATCCTGGGTAATTGTCTAAAAATGAATATAATACTATCGGAATTGGGCACCTCGAGGCGGTGTAATTGTTAAAAATGGTTAAATTACGACTGATCAGTGAGTTCGATTCTCACTGGGTGCCCATACTTTCGGCCTTGTGCCATATCTAAGCTACGCTTGGAAAATCAATATAATACTATTGGAATTGGGCACCTCGAGGCAGTGTAATGGTTAAAAGGCATGTTTTGCTAGAACAATTACGACTGAGTAGTGAGTTCCATCCTCATTGGGTGCCCCATACTTTCGGCCTTGTGCCATACCTAAGCTACGCTTGGAAAATCAATATAATACAGTTGGAATGACTTATCTAGCGGAGTATTGAATACTACTATCACCACTGACTCAGTCGAGTTAACAGTTGTGTCTTACCAGACCTCCCCCCACCCTTACATCACAATTACCTTAGACAAAATGTTAGGAAGAAACCTCCATCAATACTAGAAAGGGCAATAGCATTTACTAGTTCTGAGAAGCCTATTTTCCTGCTCCAAAAGAAAGATTTGATAAATCCCAACCAAGTCTCGTCAATAAATGCCGTGAGGAAATGGCTAGTCTCATTTTTACAATTACCATTTGTTCCTGCATATTGCTTCCTCTTTTATTCTCTAACTCTATTTCTTCTGTTCCTTTTAGCTTGTCAAGCATTCTTTATTTAGCATTCATGTTTCTCTTGCGATGTTCCAATCATAGATGTCGCTGGTTTATTTATATTTTGTTTATTTGACTGACAAGGCTGACAGCTAGTTGAAGTTTGTCTTCTAAGTTTGCTATCAAGTAACACAAATATTTAGAAATGAAAGAGTGTGATTTTTAAGTCCTTTAGGTGGGGTAAGAGATAGAGAAATAAATATTGTTATAGCAAATATAAAATGAAATTTGGAAGAGAAAGACGATGTAAATGAAAAGAAAAAAAACTTAGTGAAAATTGAAAGTAAAAAACAGACGCTTTAAAGGAGAAAGAAACAGACGCAGGGAATTAAAGAAAGACAATTAAGTGACTGATTAATAAGGATAAAAAGAGAGAATAAAAACAAAAGAAAAAAGTGAGTGAAAATAAAGGGACTGAAGAGAAAAATTTAAAAAAAGGGGAAAAATAAGGAAATACATTGAAATAGGAAAGATGAAAAGAAAGATGGAATAAAGGAAAAAAAACTATTCTAGTTTCCCCAACATATCTGGCTTGGTTCCAAACTGCCTATCTTCGCTTGGTTGAATAATGTCGTCTGCTTGCTTAGATTTTTTTTAAGTGAATCAAAAGTAGCAAGAAAAAAAAATAAGTTAAAATTTCGGCTGGGGATGGCGGTTATTGAAACAAAATAACCAATATAGAAACATACGTCCCTGGATCTTATACTAAGTGAATGAAAATTCTTCAGAGGTCAAGACCCACTCTTAGTTATTGACTGACGACATTAAAATAGATAATCATCTCACTGTCAGACAGATAACCACCAGATAGCCCAATTTTGTTTTATTAGCAAAAATTTTTCTCCAATGTGGCATACAAAGTTCATTCTTGTCTTGTATTGCAGCAATCACATTATAGCCTTATTTCCATCTACAATTTTACTCCAGATCCATAAGTAGATATACAGATGTTAAAAATACATATATATATATATAGATATATAGATGTTCAAAAGACATAGGTAGATAGATGTTCAAAAGTCATAGATACATAGGTAGATAGATTGATGTTCAAAATACATAGATAGATAGATGTTCAAAAGACATAGGTAGATGTTCAAAAGAGATAGATGGTCAAAAGACATAGATAGATAGATAGATAGATAGATACTCAAGAGACATAGCTAGATATTGAAAGGACTTCTTATGTTGTGGCTTTCAGCATTTTTTTTCTTCTTTTGCAACGGCTATCCGTTCACACAAGCTCGTCACTGTAATGTTCTGCGCAAGAGGCTATCAATGCTTGCTAGGCATCGATTAATGCGTTGATAGGATGTTAGGATGGTTGTTGATTGTCCCTCGGGTCATGGTGGCCTCCTATTCCCCTTTTGCTGCTGATTAAGATGTCCGGAGGGGACCTAACTCTTGTGTCTCTAGGGGTTATCTCCCTTCTGTTGCGGGATATTGCAATGCTTTCTTTTTTCTTTTTTTTTTTTTTTTTTGAGAGGGTTTTTTTTTTTGGTCCGGCCACAGCCATTCTAAAGCCAAATCTTCGGATGAGCTACTTTCCAAGCCATCTTCGGACTTTCCAAAGCTGCGAGAATCAAGCAAATCAAAACTGGAACCATCAGAATGAAGATCTTCTTCATCACCCTGCAATGTGAGATTCTGAGTGGAAGAAATAGTTATGATCTGGTTTGGAGAAGAATCAAGGTCTTGGTCAGATGAAGTGTTGGACATTTTCGAACGGCTGGCATCAGTTCTAGAGGTTTTGTTATGAATTTTCTTGCGTGACTGTCTAAGGTGTAGCATTTTCTGGATGGAGTTGAGGGAAGACATGACTTGTGGCTCTGGCACAGACGGTTGTGGACAAGGTGCCGACTTACATTTTGTTGACATCTGTTGGACATTTGAAGAGGAGTACAATGGATTTTGAAAATTTGTTGAAGTAACTGTTGTTGGATGTTTCTTAACTTTTTGATAAAACTTGAGAGCGTCTTCATAAACATCATTTTGAGGACGCAAATATGTTGCATTTTGTGACAATCTCTTGCTTTGTTGGAAACTGCTAGAAGCAGTTTGCAGATAAGTTGATGAAGGAGTGGCAGGAAAATTCTGTTGACAACATTTAAGCTTCAATTCATTTATTTCATGTGACATCTCTTCATTTCTGTGTACAGCATTTCTTGCATTTGGATGAAGTGTCTCTCCAAAGACAAATGGGATTTTCATCGTTCGTTATCCAAAAGAGATGATAACTGGTGAATATTGGTGTGGGCGGTCATCAATTCTTGTTTATAAAGAGCGTTTTCAGCTTCAAGTTTCTGGACTGTGGAATTGATTTTGTGGAGAGTTTGTGATTGTTCATCAAGTTGCCTTTTTTATTTGGTTGGGAAGCCCCAAAATAAAGATGAACTCCTGTTTGCTGGAGTATCCATTTCAATTGAGGTGGCAAGTTCCGAGCTCCAGCTGTGTGGAACACGTATTCTGTATCACTACCACTGCTATGTGGGTTCCGTTGGTCGTTTTCAATGCGGTTCACTGAGCATCGATTGGTCTGTGTTCGTGAGGGACGATTTGTTTCCCGTTGTCTGTTTCCGTCGTTTAATCTTCTGAAACAGACAGAGGTGAAGTGTCTCCACCTTCCGAGGTATGTGCACTGGGTATGAAATACAGGGCAAGACGTCGGTCCCCGCTCATGAGGATATTTTCCGTTGCAATTCTTGCACTGGTATTGCCGGGGATAGTTGCTTGGTTGGCGCTGTTCGTCTGCGACTTTGTTTATTGGGGCGGTTGTAGCAGTAGCGATGTTGTTGTCTTCCAGTCGCATTGTTTGTAGGTGCGACGCTATCGTCTCCGTTGTCCTTGCGTAGTTTATTAAGTCATGTAGTGACATATCTGAGTTCATGAGTCCCTTCTGGCGGACTTTTTCCGACAGGCAGCCTGTAATTAATTGGGACTTCACCTCGGAATCCATGTCGGAAAAACGGCACATAGCCGCAGCTTCCTTTAGTTTGCGATAGAAGTCTTCGATGCCTGGGCTATTTTGTTTAATTTTTCAGAACACGAATCGGTTGTATTCCGTGTCGTTTTCAGGGTTGAAGTGGTTGTGCACCGCTGAGACAACCTTGTCGAAATGTGTTTCATTTTTTTCCGGTGTGACTAGCTCCTGTGGTATTTCGTCGATGATGTCATTCGTAGCCTCGCCGATAAACGTTAGTAAGATTGCTTTTTGCCGTTTGTCATCCTCAATGTTATGTACGACAAAATAGTTTTTCAGTCTTTTTACGTATTTTGTCCATCTTGCTGCTTTGGCTGTTGACTCACAATCAAATTCGGGGTAGTGTGGTACAGCGGCCATATTGGTTATATATCGAACACGTGTTGAATTTTTTTTTTTTTAAGTGTGTTGATGTTCTGTTTTTGTAAGGGTAACGACTCAGTCCTCGTTGCCAATGTAATGTTCAAGAGGCTATCGATGCTTGCTAGGCATCGATTAATGCGTTGATAGGATGTTAGAATGGTTGTTGATTGTCCCTCGGGTCATGGTGGCCTCCTATTTCCCTTTTGCTGCCAAGCTGCTGATTAAGATTAACCGGGTGTCCGGAGGGGACCTAACTCTTGTGTCACTAGGGGTTATCTCCCTTTCTGATGCTGGGATATTGCAGTCACCTACGTGACTCGCTGCCTCCCCCTATCTTTCTTCTCTTCAGTATGCTCGTAAGGGTTAAGTTTTCCAAGCCCGCCATCTTCAATATGCGTCTAAGGAATTTCAGATGTCTTATCCTGATTCTGGGTTAGCAGTGTCCGTTCTATTGCCATTTTCTTTAAGACTTCCTTGTGGCTTACTCAATGGAATGTTCATTATCCTTCTGTAGAACCACATTTCTGCTGCCACTAGTTTTCTCTTCATCCGTAAGGAGATTGTTCAGCATTCACTGCCATATAAGGAGGTATTTTTCAGTGCACTTACGTCGCTACTGAATGTGACACAAGGTCAGTTTAAAGTAATGATTTTCTAAGCGTAGCTTAGATATGGCACAAGATCGAAAATATGGGGCACCTGGTGAGGATCGAACTCACTTTTCAGTCGTGATTATTCTAGCGAGACAAGCTTGCTAACTATTACACCATGTCGAACTGCACATATGAAGATGGATAATACATATCAACCTAGCAATCTTCTTTGGAGGGAGGGCATTCTCACGAAATGTTTAATTCTCTCTTGGTTTGATTACGCAAATTTATTATCATTCTTATCATTATTTTACTATTAGAGCTTCTCTCACATATATGTTTTCAGGATGCTTAGGGTATATTGCCTCAAAAGAAGAAACCATTTTGTTTTGCTATTATTTTCCCGAAATGAATTAACGAAACCTGCATTAGAAGTAGAACTGCTAGTTGTCACGACAGGCAATACTTTTGAAAAGAAACGTCTGCATTTCGAAAAGCACGTTGTTTCAAGGATTTAAGCTACACACCGCGAATTGAAGCAGACGACAAGAAAATGTCGGTTGCAATTCTCATGTAAGAAAGTTGAGTAGTACTTATCTGAATTAGCCGATAGGAAATTGTCGGCATAGAATTTGACAATCAAGTTATCTACTTTCGAATCCCTTAGTAATGGTGAATACAGCATTTAACCTAATTGTCGTAGTGTAATTGTCTTTTCTTTCCGTCCACTGCGAAACAAATGACGAAATAACACTTGAAGCTTATTACCATGCAAGGCATTTCAAAATGAAACAACTGTCCAGAATTCATTTTCGTGTGTAGCGATCTTTAGAATCTGTTCAGATAACAGAAATTGTTTATTCTGACGGCATCGTTAAAGAAAAATGAAGTACGTACTATTCTTTTTGGGGGTTTACATTTTCTCTGTAATGCGTGCTGTTGTGTCTTTTATACTAAAGTTCACACAGTTTAAGACTCAGAGCCGCTCAATGTAGAAAGTTATTGTGAAAATGTTTGTGACGGACAGTCCATGGTGTTCTGTGCGAAATATAATTGAAGCTGCCGTAAACGTTGCCCACTTGCTAATGCTGATATACAACGGCTGGGAGAAGGAGTAGTGTATTCCTCAATGCTTCACAAGGGTTTAGTGAAGGTCTTAGTAAATCCCTTGAGCTGAGAAATCCAAGAAAACTGGCATTTGGTACGCGCGATCATAAAGAAAGTCGACGGGGAAACTGTGCTGGTCAATTCTGGTCAGTTGCGGGTGGTATCGTGGAAAGGCTATTCTCTTCCCGGAGCTCTGTCTGGACGGGAGGGCCGTAGCAAGATACTCGATACCTCGTTCTGTCCCGAATAAGAATTAGAGAAGGTAGATGCTGTAGTTAATATGTTGTTCTGGAAGGTTCCTTCAAAGGGAGGGCTGGGCTTGTGGTGTTATGGAGGAGTCCAATAAACATGATTTCTTTTACCTTATGCAAAATTGTTGAGGACTACACGGCTCGCATGCTCCGCGGACATTTCTTGGTCCTTGAGACCAGTTCCTTTTGTAGCAACGTTGACCCGTCGGACTCCATGTTTCTGCACTTATACGTCGCGATACGTCCAATAATCTGGGTGAAACAAAAGAAAGAAATCCACGGACATATTCTTTTTATCATCTGTTGGCGTACTTTAAGCCCAGAGACAATGTGCCAAAATGTGGAAAAAAAGGGAAAAATCACAGTAACATCATACAATCAAAACCACTTCAGAAGAAATGTCCTGTTCTCAAAAACACTTTGAATCATATTTCGACCCTGACCACACTAAAATAAAGATATCAGCAGGAACAGAACATATACCAAAATACATACAGTCATTACTAAGTCTGTCTCCAAACGTAAACAATGATGAATCCACTGATGTGGAAATAAACAAAGTTACTAAAAACGTAAGTAATAATAAAGCATCACTTGAGATTGAGGATGAAATTTTGAAAAGAGATTACTTACTCCCCGAATTCAATAACAAACTTCTTTATTGTATGAAAGGAGTCTATAATCTGAAATGCATCCCCCAAAATTGGCTTTAATCATAGGTTAATGCACTATGGAAACAGAAAGGTAGCTCAATTGGATCCATTATGGTAAAAGTATTAATGAACTTTATATTTAGGATTTCATCGTTTTATGAAAGTCAACTCCTAGCGACCCAGTTTGGTTTTCGCTCTGGTAAGGGATGTAATGATGGCATATATGTCATCAAACAACCCCAGAAAATTGCTTACCTCTCTAATAGGAAATTGTATGCCTGTATACAACTACAGCAATAAAGGCTTCCTCCTCATCCATTAAAAACCGCGTTCCAAATCCCGAATCCACTGAACGCATCGATCTAATAGAAGACCTTTATGTGTCTACAAAAAATCTTACATGCCTGGCAAGGACCCCAATACAGAAACATTTCAACCATCATCAGGAGTACGATAAGGAGAAAATAGGAGCAATAGTCTATTTAATCTTTTCCTAAACTATGCCCTGCATATTTACAAAAACAGATGTGAAGAGATAAGCACTGACCATTTAAGTATTCCATACCACGTTCCAAACGAATCTACCAATAGAAGATAGCGATCTTGCTTTCCATCTCGAGGCCAATGTACTGATGATGAGGGTGGGGGTCTACGCTGATGACATAGGTATTTCTAGTTGGGATAAGAATGATCTTGAACAAACACTCAAACATTTCCAAAACAGAAATTATGATCTGGAAGTGGAATAAAAGCAGTGATGGCACCTACCCTGAATCTATCATAAAAATCCAGGATGTGGATTTAGTAAATCGTAAATAATTAAAAAAAATCTCTGGATCAATTATAACAAATTTAGTATACGAGGTAAGGAAATTGAACACAGAATAGTCTGCGCTAGAGATAGTTTCGCCCAATACCGTAAACTGCTACGAAACCGAAACATTAACCTGAAAACTCTAGTCATATTCTTAAACCCCCTCTTCAGATCAAGACTTTCATCTAGATTTCATGCACGGCGACAAATCCCCTTCAGCAATATCAAAACTATCTGCTGCATACACAACCAATTTCTAAGATCAATGGTTCAAAATGGCGATATAATCATTCTTCGAACATTGTGAACTGGCGCTACAGAATCGCAAAGAACTGTACCAAATAATAGAAACCACATCAGTTGAGAACTTTCAACAGTAGCGGCAGCTAAAATGCATATCACATGTAACCCAAAAAGAAAATAATGATATAATCAACACCTTGGCGTTCCACACTGCTTCAAATAAAAAGTTAGGAAGTAATACCCCCATCAATACTGTAAAGAGCAATAACAGCTACTAAACTTGAGAAATCTATTTTCCTGAAAAAGTGTCTTAAGAGAAATATTTTATATATTTCAACCAATCGTAGTACAAGCTAATCGGTCAATGAATGCCGAATGTTTCCTTATAAGGAAACTGCTAATATTACTATTACGGTTAAGATTAGCGAAAAGTGGGTAAATATTGGACATCTCATGTTTCATGTAAATGGATCTATTTTAAAATGGCATCTTGAAATAACTGGTTACGGATTTTACACTTTCGTAAAAGACTTGTCAGCCGAATACATATTAGATCATGGGACGGAAGGGGAACATTCTAATGCAGCTTTTGTTTTTAAATATTTTCTGTAAATAAATGCGACTAGTTGAGTTAATGTCAGGATAATGAAGACCAGCATCTTTTGGTTTTTTTACGAGAAAATAATGTCTCTCGGTGTCCAGATCACAGAAGTACGGCTCTACGACTTGTATATCTCGGTGTCCGGCCACGGATACTAGTTACTGCATTGCATTGCCATGTCCATCACACACATTTTAGATCTCCGATAATGGTAAGTAAAAACAAAGATTGATCTGAAGTAGTTTAGTATCACTAATAGTTAACTGACCAGTAAAGTTTTAAAAATCAAATTAAGATTAGATATTAAGCGATTTTGTGTTGCAAGCATTTTAATATTGATGAACGTAATTTAATTCTCGAAATATTTTT